TTGGTCCAAGGATATAAAATTTCAGTTAGACAGGAGGGATAAGTTCAAGAGATCTATTGCCAATGTGGTATCTATGGTTAAAAATATATTATATTCTTGAAAATGCTGAGAGTGGATATGGGTCTCACCACAAAAAATGATCACTATATGAGGTAATACATATGTTAACTAGCTAGATTTAATACACAGCTTAACATACAATTTTATCTGGCAATGTAATTTTAAAATTGGAGGACCTGACCTCTAGAGACTTAATTCTGAGTTACTGTACTTTAAGCAATTTTTGAATATATAATATATACTTATATAATAGAACATTTATGTATTTCCATAGAAGAGAAGATTTGAAATAAATTCTGTGATTCTGTGGGTAAACCACTATGAATTATTTGACAGCTCAAAATATGTTCAAATAGTCTTGCCATATTGAAATTAGTCACACCCTGAGGAGTGCAGTGCAGATGGTTCATGGGATAAAGCAAGGGAGACTGTGTTCTTGCTGGTCCCTTGGGCTTTTGCTCTTTCTTCTCCCCAAGATAAGATGCCAATATGCAGACTTTTAAAACTACTAACCATGCATCTTCTACAGGGTGGGATAGTTTTAGATTAAAATATTATCTCAGAGTTCTAAGGGTTTGGAAAGAAAGTGATGCAAATGATGCTTATCTGTCAGCACTCATGTGTGTATTGGGAATCCACGTACGTTCCAGGGTTTGGGAAGCAGTGTGGCTGAGAATGTCTTCCAGTAATCCTATGTCTGTAACATTCAGGAAAATGCACTGGGTCATGGGGGCTGTTGGAAGAAGTGTGACAAAGAGTCGAAAGGAGACTGTAATAAGCTGATAGAAGTTGAGGGTCTCCATCAATGGTAGACTGGATAAAGAAAATGTGGTACATATATACCGTGAAATACTATGCAGCCATAAAAAAGAATGAGATCAGATCCTTTTTGGGGATATGGATGAAGCTGGAGGCCATTATCCTTAGCAAACTAACACAGGAACAGAAAACCAAATGCCACATGTTCTAACTTACAAGTGGGAGCTAAATGATGAGAACACATGGACACATAGGAACAACACATACTGGGGCCTATCGGAGGGTGGAAGAGATGGGAGGAGGGGGAGGATCAGGAAAAATAACTAATGGGTACTAGGCTTAATACTTGGGTGATAAAATAATCTGTACAACAAACCCCCATGACACAAGTTTACCTGTGTAACAAACTTGTACATGTACCCCTGAACTTAAATGTCTAAATTAGTTTTTAAAAAAAGATTAATTGAAACCTATAAAATGGAAGAAAGTTTAAAATTAGACAAACACTACATACTAGATGAAGATATGCTAATAAGCTTTTAATGTACCTTGTCTTAGATTTTATATTAAATAATAAATGGTTGAAAGGAAGTCGAGGGGCTCATAGAACACTATAGTGGGATAAGGGTCAAGAGAGATAAATGGTGTTTTCAAAGACAAATTACAAGGAATTGCTGGCCAAGAGGCCAGAGTTCCAACAGAAGTAAAGAGAAGTTTGTCCAGAAGGAGGTTGACTAAAATGGCTTTAGCCTGAAGAGTTGGAGTAGAGAGCACAAGTCAGAGAAGACATGACTTTAAAGATCAGGCCCTGGGTCGAGCATGGTGGCTCATGCCTGTAATCCCAGCACTTTGGGAGGCCAAGGCAGGTAGATCATGAGGTCAAGAGATCGAGACCATCCTGGCCAATATGGTGAAACTCCGTCTCTACTAAAAATACAAAAATTAGTTGAGCGTGGTGGTGCATGCCTGTAGTCCCAGCTACTCAGGAGCCTGAGGCAGGAGAATTGCTTGAATCTGGGAGATGGAGGTTGCAGTGAGCCAAGTTCGTACCGCTGGACTCCATCCTGGCAACAGAGCAAGACTCTGTCTCAAAGAAAAAAAGAAAAAAGATCAGGCCCTGAAAGCAGGCTCTTCCTCTGAAAAGTGATTGAAAGCTACCATCATATATTTGAACCAGGTTAATGAAATATTGCTATAATGTTTAAAAGCAAGGACTCTATACTCAGACTGCCTGGGTTCGAATCCTGGCTTTAACACCAATTGTGTGACATTTGTAAATCATGCAATAGCTCTCTGTCCCAGTAAAAATGGATAATAGTATCTACCTTGTAGGGCCATTGGCAGGATTCATTGAGTTAATTATTGTAAAGCCCTACAGCAGTGCCTAGCAGGGGGTAAATTACAATTCATAATAGGCGTTAGAATAACAATAAGTATATGTACCAGCCACATTATTATTATTGCTACTTCTACTTTTCCCAAGCATGGGACTTCAGATAATGGCATTGAGCACATAGTGTGCTGTGCTTCTCAAGCCAGCTTTTAATTGCTGAGCCCTTTCTTTAAACAAAATTAAATAATTAGAACATATAAAGCCTAGATGGTCTGGTGGAATTGATTGGTGCCTGGAACACCTGCTGTCCCCCCTTCTCTTGACTCTCATGAAGACCCCTAGGGCATTACTGTGGAGCACGTTTGGAAAACTGCCTGTGCCAGGGAAAGAATCCAAGGCCTCAAATCAAAGACCTGGAATCAGGTCTTATCTACCATTAATGGGCGGCGTAACCTTCGGTAGGTTAATAACCTCCCTGCCCTGGCATTCCTGATCCATATGTTGTAAGAATTAGACCTGTTTAGTGGCTTTCAAACTCTGCTCCCTTAAAGCCTAAGAGTTCCAGAGAAGTACACAGCAAGATTTGGGAAATAGGTAGTACAGAGCCCCAGAAATTCAAGAACTAGGGCTCCTCTGTTTTATTCATTGGAATTCTGTATTAATTTGCAGAATGAGTACCACTGCTAAAGACATTTTGACCAGATGATCTTAAAGTTTCCTTCAGGTTCAATTACTCTGTCATTATTCTTTAGAAATTTATGAGGTTTACTTATTGAGCCAAAGTAGCAGAAGTAAGAATATTAATGAAGTCATCAAATAATGAATCTGAGGAAACTGAGTAATGGGGAAAACAGTGTGGACTATTCACAAGGTACTGTGAAGTGAGATACATTGGTATATATGATATTTAGAGAAAAGGTGAAACCTCTGATACCTGAATCTTATTTTGACAATTTGGCTCATTGTGCTCATAGGAGCATAAGCTGGCACAATGACAACTAGGCTATGAACCAAGAACAAATATTATGATAGAAGTATTACATACTTACAGTCAGAAGACAACTAAAATGAACAATTATTTAAACACTGTTTGCCATAGGACTTTTCTTGGTGGTTAGTGATTTCAGAAAATATGTCCCTTCCGAAACAAATGTCACATTGGTGATCACTGTGTTGCTATTAGAAGTGTATGTGAACTCAGACACTATTGGCTTGATTGGTTTGAACAACGTATTTAAGTAAAAAAGTTACGGTGTTCCCTTTGGTCATAAAATCTGTACTGATTAGTGAGCTTCTAGACCACGTTTATGGCTTGGATTGGCCCTATGTTTAGTCCTCCTCATTTTCAGCTTTCTGAAAGCAAAGGAAAACCATAAACATATTTGAATATATAAAAAGAGTGGTAGCATCTGTTTATGTGTAATTTCGATAATGATTAATATGCAACAATAAGGGCTAACGCCCTTACAGGCTTCACATATGGTGTGAGTTGAAGGCCACCCAGTGATTTTTCTCTCCAGTTATATCTCCCTTCCACCATTCAAAACTCTCACTGTTGAGCGTGTGTGTGTGTGTGTGAAGGCATAGTACTTTCACTGCTGAAATATGTTACCTTGAAGTGATATCACCCATGAACTCTTCAACATGGATTCATTTATCAGATTACTTTCACAAAGTTGGGTTCTGGGGTACTGACTGACACTAGAGGGTACTTACAGTTCAATCAGGACAGAATTCAGAAAGGTCTGTCTGCAGCAGGGAGGGGGAAGCTACATCCACACATGGGCCACAGCAAGGAATGCTGGGAGACAGGAAGCCCTACTGGGTCCAGCAAACAACAAGATGTTGGCCGAAGGAAGGGGTCACTTATCAAGGGGAAATGCATAGGCTAAACTTTGCCCTGTTGTGAGCTGATATAGTGCCTTGTACATAATCCATCTTCAGCAGATGATAGTTCAATCAAATTATTTTTACCCTAGGATGGTTTTGGCTAAAACTAAAGTTAAGATTTCATGCTAATTTTTTTGTTATTTAAAAAAATTTTTGTGTGGCTTATTTTCTAAAATCAAACTTCTTAAACAGACATGATTTTGTTTTAAATTTGTTTAAATAATACATTTCGTGCCAGAAAGATTCTTTTTAAAGGAAACCCCTTCATATATAAAGCATAATTACTCCTTTAATAAGACATTTTTTTGTTATAGCCATTGAATAACACATCTGCTACAAAGATGTTATTTTTTTCATCAATCCATGTGCACAGCTCTGATTAGGAGAGGTAAAAGATACACATCTCCTTCAAATAGTGAATCTCCTTCAAATGGTTTTATTTTGTTATGACAGATTTTGTTATGAAAGCTTTGAATAGCCCTCTTTTTATGAAAATACTTTTTTAAAATGTAATTCTCTGTTTCAGCTCTTTATATGTTATGGTGACTATTGATTTCAGAAAAAAGTACCTTAAGAGCATCTTTCTCCAGTACTAATATCAATATTGCTCCACAAAACATTTATATCATGGTCTCCTGAAGAAGAAATTTTAATAAGCTACCTCTCTGTACTTTTTATTCTGTAGGCTTTATTCACATCTGCTGTTTTCAGAACAAGCTCACAACTGTTCCAATGTCTTTATATAGTAAAATCTGAAGACAGTTCTCAACCCAGGTGTCTTGGTTTAAGCCTTCACTCCACTGTTCATTTATATCACTGTTCTGATATACTCCTCAAAAATATTATATCCACACAATAAAGTTTAAGAATAAGCTTTTAAAAAAGTTTTAAAAATATATTTTCACCAAACGTATTACAGGTATAAGATTTGAATTAACCCTTTTCTATTTGTTTCCAGGGCTACAGCAACACACCGGGGCCAGGTTATTTTCAAAGATGCTTTAGCCCAGCAGTTGTGTGAACAAGGAGGTAAGAGTCATATTTGATTTATTTGTGTTATGTCTAAACTATTCATGGTAGGTCCTATGGTCTCTGTACTACGTAAGCATTTCATTATAATTACTTAATCATAATGCTTTAAAAATTTAAGTATTGACCACTTCATATCACTAATAATTATTTAGTTATTACTGATAAAAATCTATAGAATTCTGAAGATACTGTGAGCAAAAGAAAATTTATTTTCATAATTTTTTCTAATGAATTACCTTTAGTTATTCTAAAAGTACAAATCTTAGTAGTAATTTTTAAATTCTACAAAATATGTCTGCTTAATTTACCACTTAAATGTCTTATCAGCTTTCTTGAAAATGTTTCTGATTATTGCTTTTAACATTTCATCATGTTATACACAATTATGTGTACAGTATCTATGGGCCTGTTTCAACTGTGTGCACTATTAATTTTGGACTTGTGTGGCTAGACACTGGATCAATTTAAGTTAAATTTTACATAATATCAGATATGTATGACCAGGGTGCACGCATATGCACACCCAAACACATGCACCACATTGAAAAAGTTAAAACCAGGACCTGTGCTCCAATGCACATTTGTTTCTCCTATCCCTTGAGTTTCTGCCCTACTTTGTGTTTTCATTATCGCATTCACCACTTCATAGAAAATTCTTCTCTGGAAAGGGCTGGATATTGCCCTAGAGAGACTGAGCTTCTCAAGTATGGGGACTATGCCTTAAGGGGCTTTGGTTCCCCAGACGCTGACATAGAGCTTGGCGTGTAAGTCATTCTAAAAATGTTGATGGATTGAATACAAGTTTGTCTCAGCTGTACATATATTCCTTGATTTCACCATCTTGATAATGAAAACATTTTATGTCAGTCTTTGTAAATGTCATGCCATTTTCATTGTTTACTGTAAGTATAGTATTAATTTGTGTTTGAAATTACATTGGGGGAATTAATTAACTTTTAGAATTATATTATTGTATTTAAAGGAAATTTCTATTAACTATCTCTCTGCTAAAGAATATCTGATGGGCTTTGGAGAGAAAAATTATTGGTTTTTGAAATTCCTAAGAAAATACCATTTATTATTAGTTATATACATCACAATATGACTTTAACTAAATGATGTGATGCTTAATGATTGCTAGTGGCAAAATCCTAATTATACACATAGTTCTTGAATTATAAAACTTCATTCTAATTATAGTTTCAAACATATTATCAGTATTCCTAGGTTTAACAATCTGGCTTCAGTTTGCCTCTCTTACCTGCAACTTTTGAGAATACAAATATTAAAATGTGTCTTTGTAGGTAGGCTCAAGAATTCGCTCATTATGCAAATCTTCTTGTAGGCTATGAAATCACTCACATTATTGAAAATATAGAATACCACATAGCAGTGAACATTAATATCCTGGAAATTTTGTAGTGCCAGAAAAAGATGTATCTAATTTTATTAACATTTACCATTGTCTAAAAACTGATTTAAGTCTTAAATTTTTTAGCCTTTTCTATTGTAAATGAATTATTGGGATTGGGTTCACTTAAAATGAAAAACCAGTGGGAAAAATTCTCAACCAGTGAGGAAAAAAAAAATGCCTTCTATAGTAGTATTACACATGAGCATGATTTACACGATGGTAGATGTGGATGTTATTAAAAATGTTGTACAACCCAGGACCAGAATAAAAACACTGAGCTTTTCAATAGCGTCTAGCTCATCAAAATCATATCAATCCATCCAAGATAAAGTGAAAAATAATGCTAACAAGAGTGATGACTTTCTACTATCAGGGAATAATAAGGAAAATAATTAGTGCTATAAACTATATATTTATTCTGGCCTTATCTACTTTTAATTAAAACATTAATTATCTCCTCAAATAAAATAACCTAATTTTATCATGTAATCATTTTTTATATATTGAATGAGGAATATCTAATATATTTATTAGAGGAAAAACAATTGCAGTCACTATATACCACAGCACAGTGCCTTTCCATTTTAACATGCTCAGTATGTTTGTTGATTTTAATTAAACAATTCAAGCAAAGCAAAGTTTTTTGTATTGCTTGCTAAACATACTGAAAAAGTAAAAGGATTAGAAAATGTACTCGTAATGTCTTAGAGAGTCTGTAATCTTAATCCCTTTTCTTATTGTGCGACCCCTGGTTGTGGGACCCCAACCCACGGAGGCAGGCCCCCAGTAGACATGAGGCAGGACGCGTGGTGGCCGGTACCGACTTTATTGGGATCTCCGGGCGACTCAGGCGGACGGGGATGAATCGCACGCGCTTTCTTTGTTCGGTTGACTTTATAGGGACAGAGGGCCTGGGGCGGTAGGAGAGCTGACCTGGCAGGTAGTAATTGGCTAGGTTGATTGCTGGGCAGGAAGCCTGCCGGGCGGGAGCTTGTGGGACGGGAGGTTACAGGAGAGCTGGTGGGGCGGATGGTGATTGGTTCAGTGGGCCGCTGGGCGGGAAGGTTGCTGGTCTTGGGCCGGGCCAGGATAGAGTGAGATAAGGGACCCTCCCTGTGGGGGAGGAAGGGCCTTCCTTTTCGGGAATTAGGCCCTTTCCACATGGCTGGGGAACGGGGCCAAAAGTCCTCTACCAGACATTCCCAACTCCTTAAAGAGGAAAAAGGGGCAGCGGCTGTCCTTCTGGCTACTTCCTGCTGACTTTGGGGCGGCGAAGGGGTGAGGGTAGGAGTTTAGGCTGTCTGGAGAGGGGTATAACAGTATTCTGGCCGATGGAGATTAGGCATTAGTTGGAGCATCATTTGATGGATGGTGACTTTAGTAAGCTCCTGGAATTGCTTTTGAAGAAACTGGAAGAGACAGGGTAAGAAAAACAGGATTAGGCAGAGGCCGAGAACGGGT